AGCGAAGTCTCCCCATTGCAGTTCTGTCTGCTCTTTGCATCCACGTAAACCGAAATGTAGCATGTTGTTCAACCACACAGTGTTTACGAGAGATTGTGGAGAGCTCAATCCAAGCACCTTCTTGCTACCTTCTTGCTATAAAGAATATGAATCTCTTCGTCGCTTAAAGCTGTGGTTGCTTTGGGATTATTGCCCTTCCCTTGTCGTTTCAGTTCTTTCTGTTTTGCTTTAAGGGCATATAATCTCGTGTCTTTTGAAAATCGTTGTCTTTGATAATAGATTTCCCTTAACTGGCGCGACGAAGGTGGCGCTCAACACTCGACAAAATTTCTCTAAGTGAAGAAGGTCCGTACTCTTCGCCTTTTTTTGTTCTTGCAGCGAATATGAATTTGCTTAGGTAGTTGTTAAGTTCAACTGCTGGAATCTCTTCAATGCTTAGAATCGAAACGAATCAGAAAGTATAAGCTCATTTCTACTTAGCTAAATCAATCAAACCTATAGCAGTGTTGTTGGCAGGATTTTTAGAAAAGCTTGAACTTAATATTCCATCTGTATGATTTATACGATCGAAGTTCTTGAGGAGTACTGTTTGTATTACTGGTCATTAAAACACCGCTTTATAAAGTAAATTATGTGTGTTTTGTCAAGTGAGTACCTTCTTATTCAAACTGCCCAAAACAGGTTGAAAATCGAGCGGGCTGAATTCCAAAATTCAAAATTCAGTTGCTAGATGGACCAAAGATAAAGATAATACATTAGTCCTGTTTCTCAAAACTGAATTGTTTATTTAATCTTCGAGGAGGTCGCAAAATAAAGGACTCATCGACGGCTGCGTTTGTAATGTGCATGGATGCTCTTTACGACCTCTTACGGCGGACTACAGGAAAAATCTTTGAACATTTCAAACGTTTATTCTTCGTGTTCTTTCACTGCTGCCACAAAATACAGCTGAGAATATTTACAGCTGCTATCAAGATTTTTCTGTTATTCCAAGCTGATTTGTTTATTTGGTTTTTGAGTCGAGAATAGCTTTGCCACGGAAAAGTTGAACATGCAAGCTTTTACAGCAGAGTACAGGAAAAGTTTTTTACCTCACCTCGCTTTCAGGAGCTCTATTCAAGGTGAGCCTGAACAATTTTTACAGTTTTTGTCTCGTTTTAGTTTTGTCACGACATTTCATGTGATGTAGGTCTTATTAAAGATCTGAGACAGAGAGACGATGTCAATGGCGTCGCGTTTAATATACACAAACTTGCAAATGAAAAGAAGAATGTTTTATAGAATACCCAGTTGTAGTGGTTGCCGCTGAAAGGTAAGGATAATACACCCTGTCACGGTTTTCGACGCCATCTTGACGAGTACGCAAAACGCGTGAGAAATTACAGTGTTTATGATGAGAAGTCCAATGTCGAATAATTTCCGTAAAACAGCTGTTCTGAAAAACAATTTGAATTGCAAACTAAAGCTACACAGCAAAGGATTTTACTAACATATTTTGGGGGCCGTTACTGTACTTAAATTTCTCAAGAAGCTTGCTTTAGATTTTCCATATATTTCACTCTGCAATTTTTCCCAGGAAATTTTTATAGAAAACTGTATAGAAAATTTTAAAAAAGGATCTAGGTCTTCTAGCTTATATAACGCCCTCAAAAGCTTTAGTCTACAATTCATCAAACCATTAGACATTAGATTCTCATACAAACACTGTAATTTCTCATGTGTTTGCCTACTCGTCAAGATGGCGTCGGAAAACCGTGACAAGGTCTATTAGCGAATGCACTGTGTGTCTGTCTTGCTTCGGCTCTTTGATCTATTCTGAATGCTAAAAGCCGGCTAAAAAAAGAAACGAACAAACAAACACAAAGAAAACAAAGTTTTGGGAAACAATTCAGTCACTCTACTTGCTCTCTTGAACGAAAAGTGTTGGTGTTGTACATCTTTCACTGAAGTTTTATTCACGTTTTGATTGTCAGTCAGTTTTGTAAACTGTTACGCAAACTTTTTTCCTTTCGCGGACTGCGTCAGAATGATGCGTGAATGAAATGTCTGAAATGGCGTGTGATTGGCGCCTGTGTTTACACTTTAACTAGCATTGTTGGTTCCCGCTGAAAATAAGGTGCATATATTAAAGATTTATCGATTATTGCTGCGGAGCGACCGAAGGGAGCGAGCAGCAACATAATCAGGATTTAAAGGAAATATATAAGGGGCGACGAATTCTCAAATTCATCACTTTTTACCACAATGCATTGCATTTAACCAGAGTGCATTGCGCCACGAAAAACTCAAATAAAAACACGGGGAAGTTCGGTGGGTGAAAGAGTGCATCGTTCGCTGCTCAGACTTAGAGTTTTCTTTGTGGAAAATTTTCTACAGCACGGTTAGAGGTCTTACCAAATTTTAAGACACGCAGGAGTCTTTCAGATGAGTACGATGGTTAACTTGGGGATTGGATTTCAATTCAAGAGCGTTTATTGACTCAAGAGCCTTTTTTGCTCTTCGACTCCGCAACACGGGGGATATACAAATTCCAGCTTGCTAGAAGGTGATGTGAAAGTGAGAAAATGTCATGCAACGCTATTCTTAAGAAACTGTATGAGCCGAAAATGGAGGTGATTTTGACCATTCGCTTCAAAATAACAGCGGAAATCGAGATAACAAAACATATGTTTTGTGTCCTACTTTGCAGACGAGGACGTGTATCGGCGTTTTGAAAAGCATAATTAGGGCCATTTATACGAGGAAAAATAAGACGCGTCTTATATAAGATGCGTCTTAAATAAGACGCGAACTGTACCATTTATACGAGCATGTCTTATCTAATAAGACGCGTCTTAGCTACGCCGCGTCTTATTTTAGACGAAATGTGCCGTTTATACGGAAAGTTCGCGTCTTATTTAAGACGCGTCTTATGTAAGACGCGTCTTATTTTTCCTCGTATAAATGGCTCTATTATGTTCTTTCATTCATTTATTGCCATGGAATATGCGTTTACATTGTTTTTTCACTGTTAATAGCTCGGTCAATGCGGCTGGCGATCATCTTGCCGGCGGAAGTTTCATGGAAAAGGAATAAAATGAAAGCTAGACTTTTCCTAAAGACAACGTAACCAGTCTCTGTGGTGTAGTGGTTCAGTGTAGTCGCGTCGATTCGAAGGTGCCGGGTTCGAATTCTACTGAGTTATGTCAGAAGTGATGTCAGCTCAGTTTTGTCCAGTTTTGAATTTTTTTGCATCCAGTGTTGAAATAAATTTGTTCCAGTTGTCACCACCAACTGTCTTGATCGCGTTAATTTCCTTTATTTTGAAATTCTACCTCCTCCTTCGCGTTAATTTTCTTTATTCGAAAGTCGTTTTGCATTAAATTCGCGTTAATTTAAGTCGCGTTAATTTCCAATACCTTAATTTCATGGAGCGTTAATTTCCTATAATAAGGTATATGGATAAAGGATCTGAATTTCTATTATTTCCTACAATTTACTGTGGGAAAACCAGAGTTGATAACCACTTGATCATTTTCTAAACAACGTTCCCACGAGTTCTTTCTATAGACTGATAGTAATTATTCTAGTACTTTCCAACATGTAAATAGGACATTCAATGTCATTTTTGATTCTTTTAAGTCTCACTGCCTAACTAATGCCAGTATCAACAGAATGTGCCGCAGCATTACTATCTTTTAGATACCCTAGTTTTACCGACAGACTCGTAACTTTGCTGTGGTTTAAGTTTAGGGCACATTTAGCCGCATTGAAAAACAACACGCAAAGGGCAGTTTGTGTTGGACTACAAAATTATGGTTATCGATAGGGGGAAATGTTAAATAAGTTATGAACCTCCCTGGGTCATTTCGGGAGAAGAAACAAGCATAAATTACCAGATATTGTGATGTATAATCTAAAGGGTAATTTGCAAGTAACTGTTTGTCAGTGCGATTTTTCCAAAGAAAACTATTCTGAACTCAAAAATCGGCCTAATTTACCGTTTGGGTAGAATCTCTTTAAGACGGAAAGATTGATCTATAAACATAAACTGTGAACTGAAAGCAGCCGACCGAAGAGCTTCGTGAATGATAACCATCAGCCCGTATAAAACATTCAGAAATTTCATGAGCTATGTAGTATAGCTTCTCAAAGGGGAGTGGTGGGTCAGTAATACACACGTATGGGTGAGAATTCTTTTCCAAGATTATTACTGTGATCGAATTTGATTTATAATTTTCTCTTTTCAGTCAGTGAAGCATAAATTTCTGGATTTACATAGGTTGAAGCTCACACATTCGTTGTAATTTTTTGGTTTGAAGTAATTAAAAGTATATAAATGGACGCTTCGCTTTTAACCTTGGTTAAATCTATATATTAGAGATGATGGAAATAAGAAATAACAATTACATCTGTTCAGCGAATGGTATGATATGCTGCTTTTCGGTGACGGGAGTTAAGACAACTAAGATGACGTCAATAATCTATAATAAACCTTTAGTTAGCACTTACTATCTCGCATACACCAAAGTGCAAGCGTTCAAAACTACTAAAAAAGTACATTTCTTTTTACTTCGTAAGTAAAAAGGCCTCTGTATTCTTTTGAGCTGCTTTCACGGTTTAGTTCCCTGTAAAGTTTGCGGCCTAATTATGATTGCTTTCAACTACTTCCTCGATACTTCCGTCTTTGATCATTGCCTACATTCGTAAAACTGAGCAAGTTCCTGGTGACCTGAAAGACATCCACTTAAAAGTAACTCCGCATTTTCATGAGCTTAGTATGTTAGCGTTCATACCTTTCCTGCTGACAAGCGTTGAGTCTCCTTTCTCTTTCTCAATTCCTGTTTAGCTCGCTCTTTCAGTTCCTCGAGTGTGTTTAATCCTTTCCAATCTATTCCATGCCTATTCATGAAGCCCACCATTTCGAACAAATTGACTATTTCGTCAATGGTATTTTGTTGGCCCGAATTAGCCATTATGCACCAGAGTTAGAAAGACTAAAGTGAAATTTTAAATCAGACAAACTTGATGAAGGGACATTTCGGACGAGTCATTGGACTTTTGGTTTCAGGGCCTTTATAGGTTACCATAGCAACGCAATTCCCAGAAATGTTCCTTCTCGTCCCCAGAGCCACTCGGCTTATTGGCTGAAGGCAATTGAATGCGCAGAGCAAATGAAAGATAAAATCTACTGCGCATAGCATTTTACTTTCTGCCTTCTCGAACTCCAAAAACCGTGTCTGATCTACGTCGATCGCAACAATCCTGTTTTGTTTTTGTGCAATAGCAGTGAAGAAGAGAATTGAAGGTAAAGTTTGAGAAGTTTCCACGAGGACCACGAGCCTTGACAAAGAAAGTTTGCCTTCGTTGTGCGCTCAACTTTCCCCCTGTATCGACTGTCGCGTACTGGGAAACTCAAAGGAGGAGTAATGGTTAGCCATTGTTCACATAGATTTAAGGGCACCCAACGAGAAATTTTAAGAAAAAGACCTAAAAACAACAACAAAGAATGAATAAAGCATTCTGAAGCCGTTTTAAGCAGTTCTGGAGATTTCTAGGAATTTTATCTGCCCGCCTCAACTGGCTCCCTGCAAGACTGATGGAAGAGTTCCCAGCCAGCAAGGTGCATCTACACCCTCCAACCTGACTTACTGGGAGGTTTCCCAGCAGACGTATGTCCAGACATTACTGGTCAGTTTGGGTGTGGTCATAAGGACGAAATTCAGTCCTTCAGTGGAGGGGACGGTGGGGGAAGAGGTTTCTGATCAATAGCACATAGCAGGTATTGTAGACAACAAATCGCCTCAGACACAATGCACTGTCTCTTTCCCAGCAACACTTTCCTTCCAAGGACATGTCATTTTTTCCCTCCAAATCTCCCAGCCAGCAAAAACTTGCATGCAGGACACATATAATTATGAGGATCAGATCCATTGCGTGCCTCTGTAGGTCAAAAGTTAAAGATTGAGCAATCGACACTTGTATGGCGTTATTAAGAGTAATCAGTCTGTTTAATTCTTCTGGATAATCGTCAGCGCTACAGTAGGAACGGAAATCAAGCTCAAGGACTATACATTACAGAAATGATATATGTGCGTTAAGTTTATTACAATGTGCTTTTAATTTATTGTATTTTTTGCTTACGTGAAGTACATCTCCTTTGCAAAACTAAGGTCAAGATAATTTTCTGTTACAAAGCTTTATAATTTTGATAGCAGTGATGGCAGTGCACAGCGCCAGAACGTCGCTTATGAATCTTTTGGGCTGCATGCAAAAGGCAATTTTTGTGTAAAGATGATAGGGCAAGTATTCTTTGCAATCTACCATTTCTTCCGCTGAATTAATGCTTAAATCATGCTTAGATAATTCTGGAGGCCCACCGATAATTTTTATAGTTGTAACAGTAAGAATTGGGCTGTGAGAGAAAAGACTCTGTGGCTGACTTGTTACCGATGTTTTGCAGGAACATATTCTCATCCTAACAGTCCTTGCATGGCTTCAATTCAGGTCTGTCATGTAGTATTTACATAATGATAGACAAGGGGCTCTTGGGTTGTTTATAATGAACAGTTAACAAAGAAGCAGATGTTGTGCAATTTTTCTTGATAAACAATTGTTACTATCTGATCACTATACAAGTCATAAAGTAGTACTATGTTCTCAACATTTTGGTTTAAGCGTTTTAACATGTTCTAAAATATAAGAAAACTTAACTGCTTAAAATTAGGCAAATATTATATGAAAACCGGTCTAAATTTGTTGACAATGTTATGGACAACTGAGGTGTTGATAAATAACATTATATATAAACAACAGCCTAGAGTACTTCTATTTTAACCGCGACAGGGCCGTTAGTTCAGTCGGTAGAGCGCTTGACTATTGCCAAAAGACAGCGTGACTCGTAGGAATATCCCACGCCGGATACTATACACTAAACCCTCTAAATGTATATATATTATTGCCGTTTTCTTTTCTGTCTTTTTTTCTTATCTTTATTCAATTTTGCCATTTAAGGAAATTCCATTACTTGACTCGTGAATTTAAGTTATCTGTGAAAACCGATATTCTCTTTCAATATTCAGGGGGGTTTTAATTTTAAATTAGTTTCATCAGATAATGATGAGCGTATGTTAACGAGGCAGAAAATGTAAACAAAGATTCGTCTATTCCCAGTTGTGGTGGCTGCCGGTAAAAAGTAGGGCTAATTAGCGAATGTCTTGCTTCGGCTCTTCCAGCTATTTTAAATGCTAAAAGCCAGTTAAAAAAAGAAACGAACAAACAAACACAAAGAAAACAATTGCGCAAATGAAATGTGTCTGAAATGACGCGTGATTTGCCCCTGTGTTTACACTTTAACTAGCATGGTTCGTTCCCGCTGAAAAGAAAGTGCATATATTAAAGATTTATCGATTATTTTACCGACAGACTCGTAACTTTTCTGTAGTTTAAGTCTAGGGCACATCTAGCTTCATTGACAAACAACAAGCAAAGGGCAGTTTGCGTCGGACTACAAAATTATGGTTATCAATAGGGGGAAATGTTAAATAAGTTATGAATCTCCCTGGGTCTTTTCGGCAGAAGAAATAAGTATAAATTACCAGATATTGTGATGTATAATCTAAAGGGTAATTTGCAAGTAACTGTTTGTCGGTGCGATTTTTCCAAAGAAAATTATTCTACACTCAAAAATCGGCCTAATTTTCCGTTTGGGTAGAATCTCTTTGAGACGGAAAGATTGATCTATAAACATAAACTGTGAACTGAAAGCAGCCGACCGAAGAGTTTCGTGATTGACAACTAGCCTGTAGTGTATAAAACATTCAGAAATTTCATGGGCTATGTAGTAGCTTCCAAAGCTAAGGGAGTGGTACGTCAGTAATGCACACGTATGGGTGAGAATTATTTTCCAAAATTATTACTGTGATCGAATTTGATTTATAATTTTCTCTTTTCAGTCAGTGAAGTATAAATTTACTTATTATATGGCTGCGTCTGTTTTCGCCATGCGATTGGTCAATTTGCGGTCCGTAACTTGCTATACGGACCAAAATTTCAAAGAAAATGCTCATTTCGGCGCTCTAACTCTCTATACCTCAAAAAAAAGGCTGAAATTAAGTTACAAGACGTCTATCAACCTTGAGGACTTAGATTTGACTTTGTCCCTCAACATTTTAAACCGTGTGTTTATTTGTGAACGAAGGGGATGAAGAAACTAACTCGTAATCTTATCGAAGAGGATTCTAGTCAGTGTTTGAAAATTTTATCGTAGTACACAGTTAAGAAGACGAAAATCGACTGGCAGAAATTCGAGATGTTTTCTCTTAGTTTTGACCAAATAAACTTTTTCAACAAGGCGAATTTGTTTTCACTTTCTCGGGACCTTTCTCGGAAACCCTTTGTTGTGTGCTGTTGTTTTCGTGAGCCAATAAAAACTTTCTTTCTTGACGCCTGTCAGATGATTGTCAAATCGCGCGTCCTGCACTTGTTTCCGGTCCCCGAAACTGGAAGAAGCCATATAATAAACATCTTATTAGTTTCGTTTTTTCTTTCCGTACTGTAAATTACGGATCCTCGTTTTTTTCCTCGATTTATGGCCCGCGCGCTTCGCGCTTGGGCCATAAATCGATCGAAAAAAACTCGGTCCGTAATCTCCTGCCGAAAACTCGGCTAATAAGAGGTATATATAATTAATAAACCTTAGCACTTAATATCTCTCATACACCACTAAGTGCAAGCGTTCGGAAAATACTAAAAAAAGTACATTTCTTTTCAATTCGTAAGTAAAAAAAGCCTTTCTATCCTTCTGAGCTGCTTTCATGAACCACGGTTTAGTTCCCTGTGGAGTTTGCGGCCTAATTATATGATTGCTTTCAACTACTTCCTCGATACTTCCGTCTTTGATCATTGCCTACATTCGTAAAACTGAGCAAGTTCCTGGTGACCTGAAAGACATCCACTTAAAAGTAACTCCGCATTTTCATGAGCTTAGTATGTTAGCGTTCATACCTTTCCTGCTGACAAGCGTTGAGTCTCCTTTCTCTTTCTCAATTCCTGTTTAGCTCGCTCTTTCAGTTCCTCGAGTGTGTTTAATCCTTTCCAATCTATTCCATGCCTATTCATGAAGCCCACCATTTCGAACAAATTGACTATTTCGTCAATGGTATTTTGTTGGCCCGAATTAGCCATTATGCACCAGAGTTAGAAAGACTAAAGTGAAATTTTATATCAGACAAACTTGATGAAGGGACATTTCGGACGAGTCATTGGACTTTTGGTTTCAGGGCCTTTATAGGTTACCATAGCAACGCAATTCCCAGAAATGTTCCTTCTCGTCCCCAGAGCCACTCGGCTTATTGACTGAAGGCAATTGAATGCGCAGAGCAAATGAAAGATAAAATCTACTGCGCATAGCATTTTACCGGTACTTTCTGTCTTCTCGAACTCCAAAAACCGTGTCTGATCTACGTCGATCGCAACAACCCTGTTTTGTTTTTATGCAATAGCAGTGAAGAAGAGAATTGAAGGTAAAGTTTGAGAAGTTTCCACGAGGACCACGAGCCTTGATAAAGAAAGTTTGCCTTCGTTGTGCGCTCAACTTTGCCTCTGCATCGACAGTCGCATCCTGGGAAACTCAAAGGAGGAGTAATGGTTAGCCATTGTTCACTGAGATTTAGGGGCACTCAACGGGAAATTTTGAGAAAAAGACCTAAAAACAACAACAAAGCATGAATAAAGCATTCTGAAGCCATTTTAAGCATTTCTGGAGATTTCTAGGAATTTTATCTGCCCGCCTCAACTAGCTCCCTGCAAGACTGATGGAAGAGTTCCCAGCCAGCAAGGTGCATCTACACCCTCCAACCTGACTTACTGGGAGGTTTCCCAGCAGACGTATGTCCAGACATTACTGGCCAGTTTGGGTGTGGTCATACGGGCGGAATTCAGCCCTTCAGTGGAGGGGCGGTGGGGGAAGCGGTTTCTGATCAATAGCACATAGCAGGTATTCTAGACAACAAATCTCGTCAGACACAATGCACTGTCTCTTCCCCAGCAACACTTTCCTTCCAAGGACATATCATTTTTTCCCGTCCAAATCTCCCAGCCAGGAAAAATTTGCATGCAGGACACATATAATTATGACAGATCCATTGGGTGCCTCTGTAGGTTAAAAGTTAAAAATTGAGCAATCGACACTTGTATGGCGTTATTAAAAGTAACAAGACGCCTAAAGTCGTTTCCGTGGGATGCGTTGGTCCATGGCCCGGGGGGGTATGGAAGCATAATGGCGTTCTATCTGAATTTGGAAAAATTAGGGAAACCGGAAAGATGCGTCATGTGATGAGCATCGATGAGTAGGTTACCTGTATGGGTTGGATTAATGTACACATGACTGAATTTATAGTAGCCTGCGTGGCGGAGTACTATTTCTCCCCAATCCACATTCCCTTTTTGCTTCCTCCCTATCCCCTACCCCTTTCGACACCTGCTACGCAAGCTAAATTTATAGTTGTCAGTGGTTGCAAGGATGGAGTTGATCTTGTTTTCATCTATCGCTATGTAGTTATTTTCGTAGCACGACTTCGATAAGATAAACAGGTTATTTTGCATCAAAACAAGGTTTACCCGTGTAACTTAAATTGGAATGTTAACGGACACAAGTAATGGAGAACATGCGCATAATGCTCTCTAATTAACCTGAACAGGAACTGTATGTATAAAGATAGATCATATCTTGGTAGTAAGTTGCCACATGACAGGTTACCTTTTTCAACGAGAAATAAACATTCTAGTTTTAGGTTAATGGAACAAAACAAAACAAAACATCCGCTTGCTTTTTTTTAATATCCAGGGTCGAACCCAGGGTTACAAAGTTCGATAAGGTTCCAATGTTTTAATCCAAGATGAAAGTTTAATATTCCAAGATGCTCTTGATACGGTTAAAAATTAATTGCAATGTGTTTCCAAGGTCTCAAAGTTAACATAGTTCCAATGATTATCCCTGATTCCAAGGTATAAGAAGTTTACTAAGGTCCTGATCCGTGTCCCATCCAGAAGTCCAATCCATGCCAACAGCGAGTCGTCCATCGACGAGGACAATATTTCTGCGATTTCACCGCCAATCGTCAAGGGTACGAGTTGAAATCTACGCGATTTAACCTCCCATCGTCAAGGATTTTTTCGATAAGAAAAGAACAAAATTGAACTCTAGCTGTGCTCGGCAAAAACTGGCGAAGTCCGAATAGAAAAATCTATCGGAAATCATGGCCCGCAACCAGACGCTACTAAAACCTTATGAAAAAGCTAGACCTAAACAAAAAAGAATCATGAAGGGAAGAAATAATTTGGCTTAGGTCGCCTTTCGTGACTTGCCAGTATCCCGAAGGATTTCGCTGGTTAACAAGCCATCCTAAACCACGAGTAGGAAAACTCAAGGGCGACAAATTTGGCAATTTCAACGTTCTTCAGAGGAAGCAAATCGATTAAAAATCGATACAGATTTTGTACAATCTGATTGGTCGGCTTGGAAGAAGAGATAATCGATAAAGATTTTACGCAATCCTATTGGATGGCTTTGCAATTTTGGGTACAACCGAACCCGATTTTTACCGTGGGAGTGCCACCGGGCATCCCACGGAATAAATCTGTTGGAACGGAAATCAAGCTCAAGGATTATACATTACAGAAATGATATATGTACGTTAAGTTTATTACAATGTGTTTTTAATTTATTAAATCCTGCAAGCAGAATACTGCAATCCTGATCGTACTACGTGAAAATTAACTCTGCAAGACATCAACACGACACCGAAAGAACTCAAAAGAGAGCGGGATTGTAGCCATAGACAGCTGTTTCGCCCTCTTTGGGGCTCGAGACTGCAGCTGTCTAAGGCTACAATCCCGCTCTGTTTGTTGATGTCTTGCAGAGTTAATTTTCACGTAGTACGATCAGCATTGCAGTATTCTGCGTGCAGAATTTAATGTCTACATTATTATTTTTGCTTATCAGGTCCTTATAGATCCTACGTTCTTCGGCATATTCGTTTGAGGTCCTTTGCAGTCCCTTGTGGTTAATGTTTGTACTTTAATTTATTGTATTTTTTGCTTACATGAAGTACATCTCCTTTGCAAAACTAAGGTCAAGATAATTTTCTGTTACAAAGCTTTATTTCGATAGCAGTGATGGCAGTGCACAGCGCCAGAAGTGAATCGCTTATGAATCTTTTGGGCTGCATGCAAAAGGCAATTTTTGTGTAAAGATGATAGGGCAAGTATTCTTTGCAATCTACAATTTCTTCCGCTGAATTAATGCTTAAATCATGCTTAGATAATTCTGGAGGCCCACCGATAATTTTCATAGTAACAGTAAGAATTGGGCTGTGAGAAAAAAGGCTCTGAGGCTGACTTGTTACCGATGTTTTGCAAGAACATATTCTCATCCTAACAGTCCAAGCATGGCTTCAATTCATGTAGCATTTAGATAAAAATAGACAAGGGGCTCTTGGATTTTTTATAATGAACAGTTA